TCCCGGGCTCCCAGAGGGATGTTTGCCTGCCAGCTTAGGCCCGATCCCCCAGGGAGCAGGCCTAAGCCAGCAGGTGGACATCCCCTGAGGGGTCCCAGACTGTGAGAGGTCACAGGCCTGGCTGAGGGACCCCACCCCTGAGTGCACAAATTTTTGTGCACCGGGCCTCTAGTGTAAGCAATATTCATAAGGCTATGATGATGGTATCTGTCAAGAGCTATGGTAACACACAGGAAGTGGGCCGTGGGTCGGTGGGTCCAACTTTCCGAGTGGCGCGGACGGTGGTGCCAGGCTGTGCTCGCTGTGAAGACCCGTGAAGACCCGCGACGCCCACAGCCGTGAGCAGCTTCCCGGACAGAAGGCGTTTCTCCGGCAGAACCAGCCCGGACGCGTGTTTCGGAGTTTATGGTCGTGGATCCAGGGGTCCCTGCTGCAGAAGGCGGGATGGTGACGGTAGGTGGGTCTGGGCGTCAGCCGTGGCCTCCTACCCGGGAGGCGTGGCCGTGGCACCAGGCGTGGGCGCGGGGATGCGGGCCGGGCCGGCCTCCGCAGTGAGCGTGGTGGGCCTCCCTCCTGGGGTCCCGCTGTGTCGGCCAGAGCAGGTGGGGGCAGGTTGTGGCCCCGCCGTGGACAGGCTGCCGCACACGGTCGCTTTGCAGAGGGTCATGGGGTACATATGCTACCTGGGGCTCGCGTGGCCTCGTGTCCCCTCAGAGGCGGAGGCGGGTGCAGGGCCATCCCGGGATGAACGGCTGTAGCCCAGGGAGGTGAGGGCACCCCAACTGCCACCTCCACGAAGCAGGCGTCACCCCACAGCCACAGGCTGAGTTCGGCACCTGCCCCAGCGAGTGGGGGTGGGTGGGCCAGGTGACACACACACCAGATGCCCCATGAGACCCACCCGTCACCTGCGAGGGGGCACCTGGTCCACAGAACCACGTGCAAAGCTGGGAAGCGCTCTGAGCGCACCTCAGCGGCCAGCGGCCAGGCCCCGGCGGGGGATGGCCCCTCCTCCATTGTGCGCACACTGTGTGCTGCCTTGTGTGTCTAACCGTGGACAGTATTCACGCACAGAGCCTAGGCCTTTGGGGGACGCTCCAGCTCCCAACAGTGCGCCGGTGCCGGGTCGCAGTCACCCCCAAAGCGCAGGAGAGCCCGAGGCGCCGTGTTTGCAGCACTCGCACCCCCGCCTGGCGACCCTCCACCCTGTGGCATGACCCCCCGTGTCCCACGTGACCCCGTGACCCCGTGTGCCCCGCATGGCCCTTGCATGCCCTGCCGACCTCAGTGGGGCAGCACGCAGCCCGAACTTCCAGACGCTCCC